CTATCAAATATTATTTCTATCTTCCATTTGAAACGGGCTCCTTCACTTTTCTTTGACCAGCCTGATCCTGACATTTATTTTTTACTTTCTCACAGTTCACACTAACTCCATTGGTTCTGTTATTTCTCACAGGTAATGCAGCACAGTCTTAATTATTAGAGGGAATATGTTTCTGCAACTTATGCTCAGCCCAATTTTAGTCTGACAGCCTTAGTTTGTTAGGTAAAAAGTGAAATTGGACGAGGGAGAAGGTGGGTTTGTGTAATGAACTTTTGGATGTGGTCTCAGCAGATGCAAAAATAAACAAGCAAAGAAATAAAATTTGCCAATGGACGTCATTAACAGTTGTTCAATGTCATTAGGGGTTGTCTGAATCGACAAGTTGAAACATTTTTTCTTCTTTCAAAATGCCAGAAAACATAAAGCTGTAGCCTGATGTGACATGCAGATGTTTTCATTCAAGCTGGTTAATTGGACCAATGTACTGTTTACCTTTCTCACAGCAGACATTTTGACTTGTGGTGTCTGCTAACAAGCAGATGCTACTGCTGTTGATAAAAGGTTAGTTTTTAAACCTGCCTTTTAACAAGCATGCACAGAGGCAGGATGTATGGTAAGTGGTTATACTGGATGCTGGACACATTTATTTATGTATGAATGTATGCAGAGGTGGAAAAAGTACTAAAATATCATACTCAAGTAAAAGTACCAATACTTGAAATATTGATCAAATATTACTCAAGTAGAAGTAAAATTACCCATCAGAAAAATTACTCAAGTAAAAGTAATAAGTAGCAAATTTAAATGTATTTTAAGTAAAAGTTAATTAGTTACATAAAAAAAAAAAAACAGTTGAACGAGGCAGGGGATCTCTCCCATGTAGTGAAAATAGGACAAGGAGTCATAAATCCAAAACTTTTTAGTTTTTAATTAAAGAAAAATCTATACAAATGTATACACATGTAATGACAAGATAACACATGTCACGCATGACATTTAAGACCCTTAGAAAGGTATAATGTGCAATTTTAGTTCAGACCATCCTATAAAACTTTTTCAAACAATCAATTGAAGGTAAAAGTGCCATAAATTGTTGGTTCTGAGCACTATACAAATGCAATAACAACATAAACACGCCACACATGACATTTAAGACCCTTATAAATGTATAATGTGCCATTTTAGTGCAGAACATCCCGTAAAATGTTTTCAATGTTTCCACATCAATTGAAAGTGGAATTGCCATGAATTGTTCATTCTGAGTTCCATCTTTCTTTTAACATAAACAGTTATAATGCAAAGCAAGGCTAAATCACGTGTTTTGACTCCATAAATAACCAAAATATAACTAAAATCCTCAGTGTCAGGGACATTTCACAAAAATAAAAGCAAAATAGTGCAACACTCTGATGGCAGGCTGGGCGTTTAATGTCTGACCGTACTGGCAGTTCTCGTAACCTCGAGAAACGGAAATCTATGTAAAAACTCGCCGGATTTAGTCTACAAACTTCTTGTTAAGTTTGAGCAGCAGTTGATTTTCAAAGTTTGTTGTGCTCATCCTTGCTCTCTTTGCAGTGAACAGTAAACCGGCACGTTTTGGGCAGCAGAATTCGATGTTTCAGCTAGCATTTCTTTTGAAACATTCTCTGAACCGTCGTCGCTCTCCTGATCCACCTCCATCTCGTTCCCAATCTCCTACAGAAAGACTTGGCGCCTGGTAGCCTAGATCTACATGCTGATCACGTCACTCACTGTAGTGCTTCCGGGCCCCATTTTTTGTCTTCCTTTCGGTTTTCCAAAGTTTTTTTTACTCAGTAACGGATGGGATTTGTAATGTAACGAAATACAATACTTCACTCAAATCGTAATCAAGTAAAATTTAAATTACCGATTTTAAAAACTACTTGAAAAATACAAAATACACAAAAAACCTACTCAATACAGTAACTTAAGTAAATGTATTTTGTTACTTTCCACCTCTGAATGTATGTACTGCAATAGAATAATCTCACAATAAAAAAGTATAGAAAAAATCTTCCCTTGATTTCATTATGTTGATTTAACAGAAAAAAAAATCTAAATGTAGAAACAATTGTATTTACCCTTAAAAAATATAATAAATGCAAATCAAAATCTTTTTTTCCCCTAATTTGTCATTAATTTATTTGTTTTCTTAGTGTTTAATAATGAAGTACAGGCCAGCTTCTTCGAGTTCTTGACTACAAGGCTAAGGGAAAAACAATATTTATATTTTTGCCACAGCACACAGAGCAGACGGGACACTTAGAGTGATAAAAAAATCTCTAGAGATTACGTTAAGATAAGTCTCCATACTACCGAGTAAAATCTCTCCCCATGAATTTTAGCGTCTTTCTGGGAAAAGGCCTTAAGCCGTACCATCAAAGCATAGCTGATGGAGTTAGAAAAGTCTACTGGGACCTCAGCTGGGACACTAAGAAGATGTAAACCAGTAAGGAGAGAAAAAACTCTTTGACCCCAGGTTGGGTAATCGAGCAAAAGACCATCTAGCTTCAAAGCAAAAAGTGCTAACTAGGGGGATCATATCTAAAAATAAGAAATGTGAGACAACCAGAATACTTATGAGGGATAAAGCAGAACAGACACAGCTTTTCCTTTTGTGACTCATTTTCAGTGTTGCTTCTATTCCGCCCTGCTTGTTTCATATTAAAAATAACTTCAGCAAACTTCACAAAAAGATCTCTGAGAATCATTGCGCCTTATCCAGTTTTAAAAAGATCTATGATGTTGCTACGTTTCCGTTTGTTAAGCAAGGTTTCTATCATAGTTGGCATTAAATCCTTGTTTAGATTTAAAATCAAAATAAAAAGGTTTGTCATGATGCAGGGTTCTGCTGCAGGTCTGTGATAATGACTACATCTCTGATTTCTTTCTGTATAGGAAAAGCACTTCTGTGTGTGTTTATATATGAATATATAATAATTTTTTTTGGTCAAATTGTGGGACAGCAGGACGGACTAGTAAGATGCGACACTGTCTCGCTTAACTGGCCCATCTGGTGCTAATAACTGTGCAACCATGTGCCCCTGACTGACATATATTACCATATGTATTGCAAGAGAAACTACAGGTGCTAACTTAGCAGCAATAATGCAGACACCACTGATAAAAACATTTTCCATTAACAATCATCACTGCTTTGAGAGTACGTTATTAAAATAAAATGTAAAACTCAGCTGGATATGATGTAAAAATTACAAATGAACATATTTTTGCAAAAATATAAAGTACATTCAAACAAATGAGCAAAGTTAATAAAATCTGCAACCTTTTTGAAAATGTCCCTGACAGAAATGCAGGAGTAATATTTTCTTGGGTGTAACAGTGGAATTGGGAAGGGCACAAGCGTGTCTCATTATGTGAATGTTGCCCTGCTCTGGATCAGTCAGCAAAAATAACTAGAAGTTATATTATGCAGTGTCATATTATGTCAGAGACTGGATCCATCCAGTTGGGATGAATTGTTCTCACTTTGCACAAGCAAAAGTAATAAACATAATTATGCTTTCTATGTGCCTCTTTTTGATTTGGAGGCATACAGTGTGACTGAACAGGATGTGTATGCACACCGAAGCAGAACGGCTTGCCAATTACCACAGATCATAGTCAGCTGATTTTCAACCTCCTTTAATAAGATTCACATTTTTTATTTTTTTATTTTCTTTGCTTGCCATCGTTAAGTACGACCCTTTCAACACTTTCATCTGATGTCAGGCTCATTAGAATATATATTGGTCCATGATTACTACCTGTAGGTTTGCAACTGGACCACTGGATAATGATTTTTCCAGCGCCAGGCAAGATTAAAGGACAGCACGGTCCGTTGCCAGCAGATATATTGGTACCATTATCACTAATACAACTGACTGGTAGTTATTGCTCTATTTTTAATCTTTTTAAGTGTCCTCTAGACAATAATGAAAATGAAGAAAGAAAATATATGTCATAATCTTGCTTTAGTATTAAAGTTGTCATGAACCGAGGACAGATGGACCCAGTATTCAGGAGAGACAGTCAGTAGGAAAGTTCAAAAGGTTTATTAAAATAAAAACAAAACAAAAGCGGAGCTGTGGCTCGCGGACACTGCAGGCAGGGGGGGCGGGGCACCGCCCAATCTCAGACACTCTAGGGAGGAAACACAGGTAAGTGACCACGATCAACCAATAGAAGATTAACTGTGTTGGTCACTTACCTGGTTTAACAGTCCAGACCACATGTGTCCCAGTGCTGCAGTCCCAGAGGTGATGGTGGAAGCTGATCCTGGTCAGGGATCCAGAACAGACAGGAACAGACAGAAACAGGCAGGATCCAGATCAGGCAGGAACAGAGACAGGTGGCAGGATCCAGACTTCCAGGAGGGTTCAGAGTCTTACTGGGACGAGAAGCATGACCAGGTGGTCACGCACAGGAGCAGACAGGATCAGGTGCAGACAGGCAGGCTCAGTGGAAGAGGGTAGCCGAGACAGGACGTGGAACCGGAACTTGAAGCAGACTTTAAACTGGTCTCCACCCAGGAGCCAGGCTTACTTAGATAAAAACTGAACCCCCCCCCATAATGAGCCAAAAACCCAGAGGACTCCGCAGGGGAGGAACAGTGGACGATCAGGAGACGAGACAAACACTAAAACCCTCTTTCCACTGGCTGCTAGGATCTTCTTCTTCTTCTTCTTCTATTGAGTTTTCTGGCAGTTTGCATCCTGTGTGCATTACCGCCATCAACTGGACGGAGATGTAATTCAGAAATATAATGTCTGTATATCTTTATATCTTCATGAAACTAAATTCTATCTATACTTACACACACGCACATACACACACTAAATTCTCCCAGCTAATTCTGTATCTTTTAAATATTTAATAAGTGCTTTAATTATCTTATCTGATTGATGCTTCCCTAATAAATCTGCCATCTTTACTGAACTCCCCATTACCCTTTCCAGTTCTTTCCTCTCTTTTGTATATTTGCTACAATAGATCAACACATGTTCTACTCCTTCGATTTCTCCGCAATAACAACAATTACCCGTTGGATGTTTCCCTATTATTTTTAGACCTGCATTTAAACTAGTATGCCCAATCCTTAACCTGTTTATCCATATTTCCTCTCTTCTACTCATTATACTGTTATATCCTATGCTAATATCTTTATGTATTTTATATAAATGTCTTCCTTTTTTTTTCTAAATTCCATCTCTTCTGCCATACCTTATTTATTTTATCTTTAATAATTACTTTTATTTCTGTTCTACTTAGCGGGACATCATATTCAATTTCTCCTACTTTAACTGCTTCTTTAGCTAACTTATCTACTTTTTCATTACCTAAGATTCCTTTGTGTGCTGGAACCCATGTGAATTGAATACTTATATTTTGTTGCCTTATACCATACATTAAATAACTGACTTCATCTAAAAGATCTTGACGGCTTTCAGATTTTCCACTTTTAAAACTAGTCAGGCAAGACATTGAATCTGAACAGATAACTACATTTCTAGGCTTCACCTCCAGCACCCATTGCAATGCTAAAATAATTGCCAACATCTCTGCTGAAAAAATTGATAAATTATCTGTTGTTCTTCTCTTGATAGAAATATTTTCTTTTGGAATATATACTGCTACTCCTGTTTTACCATTTTCCTCTTTTGATGCATCTGTATATATTTGTGTCATATTTTCATACCTTACTTCTAAATGCTGCTGAATAATTTGATACAAACCTCCACAAGACTCTTCTATTTTTTTAGTTTCTAAATTTACTATTGGCATTTCGAAAAACCATGGAGCAATTTTAGATGTACTTACAGTTTTACAGTATGTTATATTACTTATCCCAGAATACTCTGCATAAATATTTCCTTCCCATCCAAAACTCCTTATATTATGGCCATATTCCCAACATTCTCTGAATATCTGTTTAGTAGGGTGATTTTCCTCATGCCCTTGTAAATTTAACCAGTAATTTATTGACAGTTTCATCCTCCTTAAGTCCAGTGGCATTTCTCCAGTAATCACTTGAAGAGCAGGAACTGGAGATGTTCGAAAAGCACCACTACATATCCTAAGCGCTTTGGCTTGGATTCTATCTAAATCTAACAACAAAGAATTTGCAGCTGATTTATAAACAATACATCCATAGTCCAACACAGATCGAATTAAAACATCATATATTCTTTTCAAGGATGAGCTAGTTGCCCCCCAGTCATTCCCTGACAAACATTTCAATATATTAATACCTTTTTTACATTTATCAATAATCTTCTGCATATGTATCTTAAATGAAAGTTTTTCATCAAACCATACACCAAGGTACCTTATCATATTTACCTGTTTCTTCTTCTTCTTATGAGATTTTATGGCGGTTGGCAAACTTGTGAAATGTGCATTACCGCCACCAACTGATATGGAGTAAAGCAAGGAAACAGGAAACGATTCACCCCCCCCAAAAAAAAAAAAAAAAAAAAAAAAAAAAAAAAAAATACAATAAAATAACCTGTGTAACTTAAACCCACATAATACTAAATTATACTAAATTACATTTGCCCGTATAATTTTAATTTACTCTAGGTCATCGTACCTCTGCCAGTTTCTGATGGTCCCATTGGTCTTTCCATCATGCTTCCAACCATCTCCCAGTTCATATCTTTAACATCCAGATATTTTTCTGCAGCCTTCACTATTATTTTGATTTTTTCTGTTTTTTTTTGTCGTCTGAGCAGTACAATTAATCACTTCCACCATGAAAAGAACAAAATTTGTCTTTTTAACAATTAGTGAGTCTTCATCAATTTTTGGAGATTTCTCTAGAGGTTTGAAATTTGCCGTGTGTTGAACTGTAGGTTTGGGTTTTTCTGACTGAGATGGGATCCTTTTTGCAGCTTCAGCATAAGTTATTCCAAGCTCAAATTTCATTTTTTTTATTTCTTCAGACCTTTTGCTTGCTTCACAGCCGCGATAAGCAGCAGTATGTTCTCCACCACAATTACAGCATTTTATTTTAGCTTCTTTTCCACATTTACCATATTCATGTTCTCCTGCACACCTTCCACACCTCTGTTTCCCTTTACAAACTGCTGCAATGTGTCCGAATTTTTGACATTTGAAACATCTCAATGGTGGTGGATTGTAGATTTTGACATTGTAACTGATGTAACCGATGAATACTTTGCTTGGTAATTGCTCTTCCTCGAATTTAATTAGTACAGATAAACTGTCAGATCTTTCTCCGTTTCTTGTTGTTTTTAACCGTTTTACTTCTTTTACTTTTGCACCGCTTATGTTTTCCAGAATCTCTTTTTCAGAAATTTTCAGAGGAACTCCTCCAATGACTCCCCTGCTGATCTTTTTGTTCTCCATTAGGCTGCACTGAACTCTTATCCCGTCAATTTTGTTAATACGTATTGCTTTGCCTTGCTGGGCGCTGTCTCTGCAGTTAATTAGCAGGTCTCCACTGTACAGAATTCTGGCACCTCTGACTTCTCCAACAAGTTTATTGATGGTTTTTGTTAAGTGAACCGGATTCCAGTTTGTAAAAGAGTCTGCCTGATTAACGACTTTGAATATGACTTTGAATTCATTTTGTTGTGCTGTGGAATGTATGGATTGATCATCACTGGATTGTTCTGAACTAGATTCCCCTTTAACTGATCTCTGTTTTTTCCGCTTTTTCTCATTTTTTGATGCTGCTATCTTCCAACCTTCATTGTCACTATTTCCCTCTTCCATCCCACAAGAATCGCTTCCTGTTTCCTCACTACTCACGGCCCAGGACATTTCTCCACAAGCAGAGCAGCTTCAAAACACGCGCCATGCACCAAACGACCAACGTTCCTCCCCAGGTCCACACGTTTAGTTGAGGAGCCCTTCCTATTTACCTGTTTCAATTCATGCCCATATAATCTAAGATCTACTGTTGGATTGGCTGCTAGGATCCAGGACATGAACCAAATAAAAACTGAACAGAAAGACTGACAGAAAGACAAGCAATGATCTGGCACTGAATGCTCAGGCTGAACTGAATATAAACCAGAGGAAACAGGTGAGAGGAATTAATTATAATGAGGCAGGGAGGGAAGAGGGCAGGTGAAAGGAATTACTAATTAAGGGAGAGCAAACAGGCCAGATCATGACAAAAGTATTAAATATAATCTCACTTTAGAATCCCCTTCAGTTATATATATTCACATGTGAGGATACTGTTATGTGCTGGAGGATATTATGAGTTAAATTGACATGTGGGGCCCATTTAAAGCAACAAAAATCTCCTTAGATATTAGGTGTTCAGTATCACCCTGCCTTCTGTGAAATGATTGCAGCTTAGGTTCTTCAGCAGAGAGCTACAAATTGCTGTTTTGGATCTAATGAAAGGTTGCCAAAACAAGAGCATTATACCCTTTCCACAAAAGTACTGGGATACTCAAAAACAAATGTTTTCTCTTGAACTTGCATCTTTTACCCAAAATTGAAAAAATACGTCTGCAAAATAAACAGGACTTTTATAAACAAGTTTTTAATATATGCATACAAGGTAAGTCCTGTATATTTGATGACTCTGAACCTTTCCAGAGTATAACAACCAGAGTGAAGGTTTACCTTTAAAACATCTGACTTTTCCACTTCATCCGTTTAATTGAAAAGCGTTTATTTCTGCAGATTTATGTTGTCTTGAGCTATGGATCGCTGCGGCATTATTCTTCTATTATGGTGTGTAAATGTAGTCCTGCTTCCGATTAGAGACACTCTGAGCACTTAGACCCCCCCATATGTGAGCAATATTAGACACAGATGTGCAGATCCATGTCAGCAACTGAGGATCACGTAATATTAAAACCTGATTGATTTCAATTTCCTGCCACACAGACTCTGACATTTATATAAAATTAAAAAGTGGGAGCTTAATTAATTCATATAGTCACACAGCTTAATAATACACCCTCTATCTTCAGCACATTGAATTTAATAAAGCTTGACTCATTGGACATGTGAAATGGATGTTTGGCTCAATATGCATTTTTAGTGAACAATAAATCTGCTTAATGGAGTTTTACATGAATGGCCAGGTAACATTGTCTTATTTTTCCTCTGTGACTCTGTTAGAAAGTAGAGGGATTCTACATTAACTAAAGAAACTAATGACTGACCAAAAAAATAGAAAGAAAGCAATACTAGAAGCTTTCTATTTTAAGTCAAACAGGTCATTGTTCTATTATGTGCCTGCTGAGAAGATTTTTGCTTGATAAAAAAAAACTAAAACGTATTGCTGTGATCCAAATCTGAGCATTTGCCAAGAAAACCTGCTCATTGTAACTCTGTGATAAACTAGAAAGTGATGACATGGCAGAGACCGGTTGAAAGAAGAAACGTTGCAACAAATATTTCGTACAATATCTTTTTCTCACACAACATATTTGCAGGAAATATTTCATCTTATCTTTAGCTAACTCTTCTGCAATCAGTAAACAAAAGCTTTTCACTCCCTTGGTTCTGTTAAGTTTTCTGTGGGTTTTCAGTTTCAGTTGATCCATGTTTTTCTTAGTTTTCTAGCTTTATTGGTGTTTTCTGTATGTATTTGAGTTCTTAGGTTTTTCTTTGCCTGCCCTCTATTCCCTCTAGTGTTGGTCTCCTTTTCCCTACAGTAGCTCCTTCTAGGGGCCTTTGTTCACATCTGCTCCCAATCAGCCTATCAATCCTGTCTTTGCTCAGTCTCCCCTAAATACTCTCCTAGTTCGCAGTTCCGCAGTGCTTGTTTCTTGTCTTTCCCTGGCTCCTCGTGCATGTTTTCCCTGATATCTCCATGGTTCTGGTTTGTTTTGCATTTTTATGTTGGATTTTTGGATACCTGCCTCTGTTACCTGTGATAACTCAATTAAAACTGCAAGAACTCACCTCTGCCTCCTCGCCTCTGCATTTGGGTCCTCAAAACCTAAATCAAACCTTGACAGGCTAATTGGGTTTTAGCAGCTTTTTTTATAACTTTAATGTAATTAAATAATTAACAAGCATTATTCAATATTTTTTAATTGCTTAGGGAGCCTTAACACATGGTACCTACATGGACACATGTACCACGACTCAACTTCAATGTCCCGAAAAGGAAAGAAATACTGGGGTAGTTTGTAGTGTTTGAATAAAAAAAAAACAGTTGGTGATAAGGAAAATAATATATTAAGGCAGGATGGACCCATGATTTCCTGTTGTTTTTGAGCTAATTTGGACCCCGCTACAGTATCTAAATGTCTGTTTTTATCAGATTTTATTCAGCCAATGCAAATTGTAACATCTGAATCCTGTTACCATTAGTTAAGCAAACACAAAAAAAAAAGTTCTCCATAAAATGGCTATTTTTATTGTTTTATTTTATTATATTTAACAATTAATATGCTGCATTTTAAAAATAAGCTGCACGTAATTCTACCTTAACAATCAATAGTGTTGGTTCTATTAATTACTGCCTGAATATGAACAAATAGTTTTCTATCACATTGTTAAACGTGATCATATTGCATATTGATCAAATTTGACAAGACAGGGACCTATTATCTTGAACAAAAAGATAAATGGGATAAATTATATGAAACATATTCGCCCATGAACAGACATACATGTTAAACTATTATTTAAAGGCAGGGTATGTCACTCTGACATACTGTCAGACTTTACCTGCGTCATGATGTCAATACAATGGACTACAAATGGGAAAAAATTGTTTTTCAGGCCAGCAATAAATCAGTGTCAGGAGTGACAATTAATGCTGTTAGCCATGCTTTAAACCATGAAAGCCCTCAATTTTAACCTTACATATTGGTATTACAGTATATTCTTTTCTATCATGTTACCAATGTTGTGCATAAAGACCTAATTTTCTCAGTCACATCCTTGGCTTGAAAGCACATCAATAATTTTTCTCTTAGAAGATGACGCTGACAATTATTCATAAGTTGCTTATTTGTTTGCTCTCATATTTTAACATTCTGAGAACCAGAGACTAAAAGTTGTAGTGGAACAGCAGGTTCTAAAAGGTGCACATCCAGGTTCTAATTGATTTAAAAGCAATTAACAAGATAAGGTTATTGATGAGTCCATATTAGGTATTTTAAAACCATTAACAAGATTTTAACATTTAGCAGATATTAACCACCTCACCAACAATATCCCCGTCAATTTTAAATCTGTTACAAAATGATTAAGACAAAAAAAAAAGAAAAAAACTGAATGGAAATACTCAATAATGTAAAAAATAAATGTCAGTTAGCAATATAATTAGCAATCAAAATTTCTTAAAAAAAGTCTTAAAATCCAGCAACAGATTAACAACCCTATTTCTACTCTGATATAATGATCTTCCTTTCTACAGATTTTGCTTTAGATAATGGCTTTTTTTCATTTATCTTTCCTAACTGTATTTTGTAGCACAAAGTAGCTTCCTTTTTTATTTTAGTGTTATTATTTAATGTCAGCTGAACACACATGCTGAAGAATATTTGCCGACTAGCAGCACCTGGCTGCTACTAACCATCTCAAACAGTTATTTTCGCATGCTGGTACTACGTTTGTTATTTACTTGCATTAGATAACTAATTAAGGTAATGAGCTGCTATATTACACTGTGTAAACAATATTCACTTTGCATATTGCTGTTCATCTTATCTCTTGAGGACCTGCTGATCTATTCTTTCGTTTATTACACTCTTTTGTCCTTTTAAAACTAAGAACGAATGGATGTGCTGTGTTTCATTTTTATAGGATCCTAGGTAGTATTTGCTGATTCTACCAGACAACAATTGATTGTTTCTTGGATATTTGTATATTTATACTATATTTATAATTTTTTTCATGAACGTTTAAATCGTCCTTCAACTTAATGAAATGTTGCAAATGTTTCTGGGTAGCACTCCATGTTATATCCGAGCTTATATAGAAAACTTGATCAGAATACTACACCTTTAATAATTATTTTTTTACAGTGCAAACATAGCAGTCATGGGGGTTTACTTCACAGACAAAACAGGCTAGCATAAAACTATTTATACCAATTATTCTATTTAAATTAGTAAAAGTTCAGTCTGATTGGAACAACAGCACCTGTGAGCATAAGTGTTCCCGTCTTGCCAGAGATTCTGGGCTGCGATTAGACTAGATCAACAGATAATAAATGAGGTTTAATGTAAACCATACAATTGCAACTCTTGCAGCATAAACTAAGCAAGCGGTTTTAAGTCTTTGCAAACTCATTATTTGTTGTAAATGTAACATTTTGTGTAATATTTGCATAATGTGTATATTTGAATGATCCTATCAACCCATTAACCTCCAAATAACCTAGAAAAAATATTTTTCAAACTAAAGAAAAATGTATACAATTTTGATGAATGTCATTCTAAGCATTAGCAAAATGTATCTTAAATATTAGCTGGGATATCATTAAAATGGGTATTAGTTACAATTAGAGTATTTTATTTTGTTTAAAATATTTTTGCAATTTATTAGGTTAAGATTATTATTTTCTAGCTATCACAAAATATATCATATTTAAATTTGACATAAAAAGATTGATCAATTTTCAAAATGTTTAGGCATAATATAAGTAATCAAATTTAACAATGAAAGGTATGTTGGTCATTAAAATCGTGGGCATGATTTCAACTATGAATTGAAACTTTGGATCTAATCTAACAGATACAAATACTATAGATTTCTATTTATATACTATTTATCTTTCATGGATGCATAACAACAGATATTCTGCTCCAGGGTCTTAGGTGCCAGTAAACAAAACATTGCAAATGAGTCACACATCAAAAACCTCTAACGAACAGTTTTCCTTCAATTGATCCAGAACAAATGGTGAGAAGCACAAACACATACCTGCTAATTACAAATGCACAAAACACTGTTTTTATACCTTTTCAAATA